ATTGGACACAATGCTGAACCCCATTTACATAGATTGTCTGCAGGGATTAACTGTATATGCTAGGCATTTTTTAAATTACTGTGCTTACAGATTGAGATCAACTGTGCCCTGTGGCGTTTTTGTGTGAACAAAAGTTATATTTACATTTCTTACCAGTGTATCCGTGAGGTCTAACAAATGTGGTGAATGCATTTTCTTCCTCATAAGACATCCACAAGTAGATTTTTTGGGGGGGGGAGATATTTTGAAACTTCGTGTATCGTTTATATCCGTGTTAACTTGATAGCAGTCTTCTTCTTCCCTGCCTTTGTGCATTGCTTGTTTGAGCATTACTGCTGCCAACTGTTGATCAGTGGAATAACGTGAAACCGGCAGTAGGAATGTGTATCATGTCGTCTATGAGCTTGTGCATGATACAAACAAAATAGGGACCCACTCATGAAAACATTGCGCAAAGCTTTACTTGTGGTCAGCAATAACAGAGCACTGGAGCACCTTGGTAGCCGGATGGTTACTGTGTATAATGTGGCATGCATTACCACAACCTTTGTTGCCCGTTTCTAGTCTGCATGTTTGCTCAATCTGTCCAGTAAAGGTGAAAACCTTTAATTTCTGTTTGTTAATTATATCAGTGGGTTACACAGAGAGATGTTTTTTAACAACTCAAGTTTTCCCCGGAACAAAAAGTGGAAAAACTTCATATCCACAGCCAGAGGAATGTTAAGTATGATGAACACACAGCTGCCTTGCTCAGGAGACCACCCATCAACTCTGCAGATTTAAAAAAAACAGACATATCTCCCTCTCTCTCTCTCTTTCTCTTTCTCTCTCTGTCCCTCTCTCTCCCTCCTCCAGTCACTGCTGCTGAATGTCTTACATTTCACCTCAGTCCCTGATGCTGTCTTTGGCTTCTACATCCTGATCAAACTAGGCTTTAACACACAATGAAATGTTCAGTGCTGAATTACCATGGCACATTCAATATAAACTGAATTTTACTTTTGGGTCCCATCCAAGCCACCATATGTTGAGGAGCCTGTTTCCCCAACCGGGCCATGACTGATTCTGTTAAGCTCTAAATCACCAGAGCGCTAACTTTCGGCAGCAGCGGGATCAAAACCTTTAACACTCATTTAACACTCTGACTTTAATGTCCTGGAGACACTCCGGAGGTGTATGGAGAATCCACTTGAGCTTGCACAACACAATGCAACACTCATCATGAGTGTTGGACACAGGAGCACAGGCAAGCAGATCTTTTTTTGTTGCCCTTTTCGGATGTACTGCTAACTGTTTGTATTTGAACGGGTAAATTAAAGCCATGCAAGAAGGGTTTCATTGTCACTCCTCATTGTCACGCAAACTCCTAGATGCAATTAAAACATGTGAAAGTCAGAGGCTCGCAGGAGGTAAAAAATCCAGATGTATTTGTAATTTCTTTGTAACAAGAAAAATACATCCTTCACATCCTTCTAACAAATGGGGCTTTAAAGCTGCTGTAGGTTGTTTTGCATGGTGGCTCCAAATGGCAGCGAGAGCTAATTTGAAAATCCAGACAGTAATAACGTCTAAATAGTTCGTGTATATATTCTGTTCCTGGTTTGTGATTTAGGCAGAAGGGCTAAGGCTGTGGTCACATGATTACTTGCATGTGAAAGGAATCGCTCGTAGTGACAAACCCACAGGTCATTATCACCCAATTCTTGCTGTTTCCCTCAGATCTACAGTGCGTTGATTTGCGTTTCTTTTTACGGCCCACAACTTCTTTACTGGTTCACTCACACTACACTCCTCAGTCTCGGTTCCAGCCACTGCAGGCAGCTATTTCCAGCGAAAAAGCTCTAAAACTGTAACTGTATGCTACCTGCCCAGCACCAAACAGCAGACAAATTTAGAGACAATCTGGTGAGCTTTTTGCAGCTAAAGAGCCAAATATGTCCCTCTGGAGTCGATGAACAGCAAAACAGAGCAAAATGGAGAGTGAATATTGGACTTAAGTCAGCCAATCATCAGATGGACACAAGCACAGCCCCAAATGAATGCTAATGTTGCAACGTATATGCTGGATGTGCAAAGTGTTTTTATGTCTGTGTTGTGTTTAGAGCTTGTTTTCGCTGCCTCCAAGTGGCCAAAAAATTTGTTAGGTTTAAATAAGTCTTGCTTGATGTAGTTTAACTAAGCAGCATGGTGGACTGTTGATCCAACATTCCCAGTCATACTCATGTACTAGCATGTTCACTACGAGCATGTTTACCTTAGTATTAGTGGGGATACCAGGTAAGGTTGGGTATTATGTGAAAATGTTCTATACTAATATCGATACCTGAATTTTATTGATACCGTATTTGAGAAATATAAATATGTTTTTCCATAATACTTTTTTTTAATTGAACAAAAGAAAAGAACAAAAGTTCACAAATATGTTGTTGTCCAAACACAAGCAGCAGAAGAACTTTGACTTAGAATGGGATGTTATAAAAGTAATGTGTAGGTGTACCAGTACTTTTGTCCGTATAGTGTATTTGCCAGCTTTGTACTTGAATTGGTTGGTACCAAGAAAGTATTGAGGTTCTATAGCCAGCCCTAAAACCAGGTGTAGTGTTTTGCAAAAGACATACAAAACTAAGCTCAGTGCTACGTCCGTCCAATGATTTCTGGCTATGAAGACTCTTTAAAATATTTCATGTCAAATAAAAATCATTCTGGAAAAGAATGGTTGTATTTTCAGCCTTTTGAAGTAAAATAATATGCAGACAGGTAATCAGTGGTCTGGGATCATCTCTGTCTTCTCCGTGTGTCTAACACATTTATACGGTGGACTTTTCCTGGCAAACATCCATTCTGTATTGTGGAACAGAGCAATAAGGTTTGAAAGAGCATTGTTTCATGATTCGGGTTACATTTACCGGGCTGCCTGGAGTGGGTCTGTTTTTTTATATGGTGGTGACTATGATATGTGTGTGAGAGAGAGCATGTGCATTCAGTCAAAGCCTCATTGACCGACTGCCAGTCCATCCAGTGCTTTATGATGACAGTGTTTTTATTTGGTTGTTTATGTTTTCGTGTGCATGCACATGGACAGTCAAGGCCTAATTAAGAGATCTCTGATGATGTTAGTCATCTCCATCGTGACTCATGTGTCTCCTGGCCATCCTGATTGAATTACTCCTGACTTGAGGCAGGGAAACACTTGGCTTCAGCATCAGCGGGTCTTGAAACTTTCATACAGAAACAGAGCCAACAAGCAGTGAAAAAAAAAGAAAAGAAAGAAAAAAGTAAAACAAAAAAAGACTGAACAATCCAGAATTTGGTAAACAGAATGTATTGCTTGAAAACAGACCAGAGCTGAAAGACATCTTGCCTTCTGTTAATGGCTTTGAGTGAAGACAGCGTTGTTCCCGCGGTCCCCTGGTGATACTTGACTGTTTGCATTGCTCACTTTGCCTTTTCTCCACTTCTTTGTGTTTCTGCTGTGGCCCATGACAAGACAAATGCAGAGGAGATTAATGACACATCAACTGTGGGAGGGATATGTGAAAAGATGGTCCTTAAACTGAGGATAAGGCTCACAAAGTTTCCTTGTTTTCTCTTGTCTTTTGTTCGTCCATGTAACCTTTTTGACCATATTCCAAAACACTCCCTCCCTTTCTCTCTTCAACTGTTTACTCTCCCTCTCTATCTGTTGCTCATGTTGTAATATCTTTCTCGTTTGTTAGTCTTTTTTTCCTTTTTCATCTGTTCCCCAAATCCTTAGTTTTGCTAAATATTTCTCTCACTATTTTCACATTTAGTTCATTTTTGCCCCATATATCTTTTTCATCACTTCCAGTACCTTTTAATGTTTTCTCTCATATACATGGTGTTTGGGCGATTTTATTAATAATAGCTCATGGTGTGTGATAACATTGTCAATAACATCGTTAGGAGAAAATTGAATTTGAGAAATTGAGTTAGGGAAGTTGGAACAGGGGACACGTGGCGTGTGTGGGGATATCGGCTTACCCTTCACAAATATTTCCTCATACTCCAAGGCCCTCCCTTTGTTCACTTTCATCTCTCTCTTTCCTATTTTATTTATTATGTTTTTGGTCACATTCACAACGCCTTTACTTTTTATCAGATACTCAGGTTGGAATGATAAAAAATTATAATAATAAAAGCTTATTTATGTGGGGCTTGTGCCTGAGGAATTAAACATGATTGTTGATCCCCCCCAAAAAAGAAGATTTTAATTTATTTTGCTATGCATTTTCATCACCAAACAGGTAATTTGCAGATAAGAAGCATTCATTTGTTTTAAATGATTCCTTTTGCTTTTTGCATCTGAGGGTATGGATGGACATCTAACCTTAAATCAATGAAGATGCCTTTTGAATGAGAGAAAAATGAGCGAAACAGCTTCAAAATCTAAAGCAAGTCCAGTTGCCTTTGATTTAGCACTTCTAGATTAAATCACAGAGTATTGTTAATTAATGAATTACCAATTAAATAAATAAAATTACAAATTAATTAAATCAATATTCACAAAAGGATGAAATTAGAACAGCTGATGGTGAATTTAATTCTTGATTGAGAGTCAATGGTTACACTTTTACTGGCTGGATCTTCTGGACACATTAATTTGACTTAGTTTATTTTTCCAAATGGACACATTGCCATTTGGAATACAATTCTTCAATTACTCCAGCAATATTACTTGGCAGTAAATCTCTCTGCCGTTATTCTAACTGTCACTAGCTGGGCGATGCCAAAGAGCTCTCCATATATCACTAGATACTACAGTTTTGGCAGCCAACAATTATATCCTCAAGAGAATATTCATAATCTAATAGGATTTCAACATGTCACTGATGGCAAGAATCTCACTATAAACTGATTATTCTTCCAGGGCAAGTCAGTAGATCACTTGGTCGAATCTGCTTAGCCAGCTTTTAATGTGAGCGTGACATTGGGTCACTGCATCGTTAGCTTTAGTGACATTTCTCTTGCTCTCCTTTCAGTGAATGGTGCCTACTGCTCAGAGAAGGATGTAGACGCTGATCTAGGTGACGTTGAGGGCGCCCTGATGCGATGTGGGCAGAGCTTGCCACTGCTGGTAGGGGGTCATTTAGGGGGGCTTTATACCCAGAGCCTCAACTGCGACAGACCTACACCCGACCTCCTTCTGCACGATGGCCCTCACCAAGACGGCAGGTAAACTGTCACTATCATTGCGGTTTTAAAATGATTTTGTTCCTGTTTCAGTTTTGAATGTTTACTGTTGGGTATAGTATTACTAACAACATGCAGGTACAATGTGTTTTTCATTGTGTTTGCTATTGTGGATCAGATGCACACATATATTGCTGGAAAGCTTTACCCAGTATCATAAAACACACTGAAGGGGTCCAAAGTATAACATTTATGTTACACTAATGCAATTCTTCTGTTGTGCAATTGTTGACTACCACTGGTCAAGTCAGAAAGTATTTCCAGTGATGTTCTATGTTGTGGGGTTTGTTCTACTTCTTCACCCTCTATCCTCAGTCATCCGGCCAAAAGTACTTCTGGAAAGATATTCACTTCTCTCATATTGTGTCTCAATATTTTCACTACAGCCAAACAGGAAATGGTACTCCTGAATAGACGGAGGGGGGGGGGGGGGGTCAAGTCTTTATTAACAACAACAATGACAAAGTCTGCCAGTGGCTCTCTCCAAGCTAGCATTAGCTTTGTTTTTCCCCCCAGCGTGCTCAGTGGCAGGGACAAAGACGATTCCTTCATGAGACAGCCCAGAGAAAAGAGAGCTCTTCTCACATCACTCAGGGGCTTTGGACAAAATCCATAATGAGCCAACTGACAGGAATGATTATGTAGGAGATCATAGCAACGCATGGAGAAATCTGACCTGGGTTCCCCATTCAGCAGGGCAAAGATTCCCACCATAATACACAGTATTGTAAACGCTGACCCTTCATAGGCTGCAATTATGCCACCAAAACAGGTGACTCCCTTTTTATCCCCAATGTTGGGTTGGGTTTAACCCCTTTGTGTCATCAAAGCCTGTCAGATGGACACACTAGCCGGTGGCCTCTCAGTCTAAGTAGCCATCCACCCCCCCCTCCACCTCCATCTCTATTCTTAGTCATAAATGCCCATTCATATCCTCTCACTACCGGAAGATCCAATTTCATTTATTCATAAAAACACTTTGAATGATCACCAGTGGATACTACCTGGTGTCCGCCATCACCTTATGTCACTGAATCCTCAACATGGCTTACATGATGTTAATGTTTCTTCCATAAGGTCCCTTACGGTGAATGAAAGACTAAATTATTTTAGGTCAGTGGGACTCATTTAGGACGACATAATTTTAATATAAACTGAGAGAATGATTAGTGGAGGAGGGGTTAGCAGGAAGCTAAACTCTTACTGTGCTGCTGGTGGGAAGGATCAACCAGCCAGTATCTGTCATCAGCCTGTGAGCTAATAGCGCTCATATTCCTCTCTGGGTCTTTTTCCCCTTACAGATCCTCCTCTGCCTTCCAAAGGAACCTGCCGGGGGCCTCACCCGGCCTGGGCTGCGGCACTGCCAATGGGGGTCACTCCTCTCTCCCTTACCCAATCAAACAGGAGAATTCTATGGGCTACAAGATCTCCGGGGTCCATAGCACGTCTCAGGCCGGGTTTCAGAACTTTAGGGCCGGCCAAGTTTTAGGGTTGACAAGGGACGAAATAGTTGGAGCAACTAGCAACAACGGTAGTAGCGTATGCACAGTGAGCGGCATAGGTAGTGCTGTGTCAGGGGACGCAGTGCAACCGTTTAATAATGGAGATGGCTCCTCCCCGCTGGCTTTGTCCCCAGCTGGCTCCCGTCATTCAGCGCGGCTGCTCAGTGCTAGCAGTCTGAAGCGACGCTGCCTGTCCCTGGCTTCACAGTCCACTGCCGCTGCTGGCAGCGTTGCTGCCACAGGTTCCCCATCAGCTACTGGCGCTGCTTCCGAGGAGATCAATATCACCGCCATCATCTGCTCCTCCTCCCAGATGTCGATGGTTGCCTGCGTCAACGGGTTCCGCTCTAACCTCTCGCCCAGCCACGCCAGCAGTGCCGGCCTCTCCTCCTCTTCCTCCTCCTCTTCTACATCCTCACCCTCTAACTCTTGCCCACGGGAAACCGCCCAGAGGCCCCCACCTCACGGCAGCCCCCAGCAGGCCACGCTACAGGAGAGCTGTAAGCTATCGTCACCTGCTACCTGCCTGCTGTCCCTTTCCTCCTCCTCCTCCTCCTCCTCCTCTTCAGTGTCATCAGTGGAGCTGGAGCAGGGCCAGGGGCATAGCCAGGGGCTGTGTGAGGAGCAGGGCTCCATGCTGCACGGGAGTGGGGCTGGAGGAACCGCTGGGGGAAGTGTGGGGGGAGGAGAAGGAGGCTCGGACGGGTTGGGGCTACTGATGAGTGGGGCCCTGATGTCTGGGATGCTCCATACAGGTACTGAAACTGGGGCTCTCCTGGACAGGGGCCAAAGATCAGGGGCTGCCCTTAAGCAAGAGCCCCTGGATGATTTTTCTCCCAGTGAAGATGAACTCTTTCAGCACCACTATCATCATCACCACTTGAGTGATCGCGCCGGGCACCTTCGTCACCCTCACCCCTCTCGCCCTTCTATGCCTCCACCCTACTACCTGCACCAATACGTGGGGCACAGTCCTGGGGGTCTGCTGCACCACCAGAGCCAGCAAACAGTAGCACCACCCTCTTCCCTGGGACTCAAACCGACCTCTGGAGGCCCTCCTGGGTCTCACACAGCCCCAGAGCGGGAGGAGGTTGAAGGAGGAGCACTGGCCGATAAGCAGGTGTGTCGCTGGATTGACTGCAGTGCTGCGTACGAGCAGCAGGAGGAGCTTGTTAGGCACATTGAGAAGGTACACATCGACCAGCGCAAAGGCGAGGACTTCACCTGCTTCTGGGCTGGCTGCATTCGCCGCTACAAGCCCTTCAACGCCCGCTACAAGCTACTCATTCACATGAGAGTCCACTCCGGAGAGAAACCCAACAAGTGTATGGTGAGTCATCATAAGCCTGTAATATTATCCACCCAACATTGGCCTGACCCCAAAAAAATAGATGCCAGTACTCAGTTAGATATACACATACATCCAATATTGTTGAAAACCACCTCATAGTCAGCTGTCTTACTTTTACAAATTTTTGCTTCTTTTTGAAAGGATTAGTTTGTATTTATTAGTTTAATATGAGTCTAGTTTGTCCCATAATTGCAGCCATCTGTTAAAAAAATGCACAACACAAGCACACTTTTCATAGTAATACATTCCCTCAAGATTATTTTTCCCTCGTCGAAATACACGTCCATTGTGTCCAAAAACAAGACGGGACTTGCTTCACTGCTGATTACTTTTCAACAGAAACTTTTATTTTGTTTTGGTTGAGAAACACTTATGATTGTAATTCCTGTATTTTTAGTGGAACTTGTAAAAAAAAAAGACTACCTTGTCAGTATAAATAGATTTGTGGTTGTATTCTTTACAGGTAAGGCTCATATTCCACAAGTCAACACACTAATCAATGTCAAGCTGTCACTCCCCTGCGTCCCTTAGAAAATGGAAAAAGCCCTCCAACCTTAAGAATGATTTAGTCCAAATACACAATTAGTCCACAATTTGTGTAGGGCAAAGCCATGTTTATTTTCACAAGCACTCTGTTTTTTGAGAAGGGATTCAGATCATGAAAAGCCAACACATATGGTTAACATAACCAAACAATGCCTACACTTGATCCTTTTAAATGGGAGCTTTAAATGTTTAGCTGTCCCACAAGTATTAAGTGAATTGGCTCCATATCCAAGCCAAACATGAGGAGAAATGTAGTAGTCTGGAAAAGGGAGCCGCAGAGGGATAGCCGGTAACATTTGCTAGTCTTGCTCAATTCACGGCATCACCCAAAGCCCCTGTCACAAGTGGTGCTCTTCAAGTTCAGGAGCCCATCCAAATCCTAATTATTGAAAAATTGAGTCTGCAATATTGCTGCAGCACCTGTTTTATCTCAAGGGCTTTTTTTTAAAGACAAAAAGGTCTTCTATTTTTCTAAATAACAGTGGCTTGTAAAATTAGCTGAGGTGAGGGTCTGTTAATAGAAAGCTGTATTTTATGGCAGTTTTCTGTGGTGTTGGATAAGAAATTCATGTTGATTTTGACTGATTCTGATACTTCTTAGTGCACATCTGAGCCGAATGCTGATTAAAGCCAAAAAGACAAAAACTCAACTCTTGCTGCTGTTCTCCTTGCTTTGTGTCACTCCTGGGTATTAGTGTTTCTGCTTTTTTGGCTCAGCGTGAACTTAAAATTAAAATTAATTTGCTGCTTTGTAAGTTCCCCTGCTGTCTGCTTCAGGACTATGTTGTATTAAGGCTTTTTGTCTTTTTCTTTTGTGATTATTGTTGTTGCTCTATGGAACGCTGTGCGGGTCTGTCTTTAGTCCAGCGACGATAGAAGTCACATTTGGGTGACACACAGAAAATAGACACTGAGGGAATGTGTATAGGTTATAAGTGTATGCATGAATGTGTCACTGTTAAGGTGTATGTGTGTGTGTGTTTATGTGTGTTTTTGGAGATGTTTACCACATGTGAGCACTGAAACAATTCAGCTCAGTGTGGACGAGCCACTGGACTGTGTCTGCGGGCATAAGGCACTGTGAAGCTCACACACACAAAGTGTTCGCAGCCATGCAGTAATGTGAAAATGGGGATATTGTTTCCATTGACTCTCACAATAGGAAGTATTGATTCCGTGTACAGTACGTTGGTTTGTAACACTCCTGCGTTTCCGACACAACATAAACAGAAATGTGAAATGTTTTCAAGCTTGAATCAACACAACTAATCAGCAGGGATTGAATGTATGTTGATATGAGACTTCAGCAGATAAACTTGGAGGGCCAGAGAAAATAAACACGCTCTCTGTGTGTATTTGTAACTGTGTTTGTGTTTGTATGTAGTCTATACGGATTTAAGTAAGCACCGTGTACTTATAGGAAACCTAGCGTCTCCGTGTGTGTTTTCAAAGAGCGAGCATGCTCATGTATTTTAGTTGTGTCCTTCACAATTTTTTTTTTGTCTGAGCTTGTGTGCTTTTTGGCCGTTTGCACTGATGCCTCTTGTGTTTATCGTGCTCATGCAATAGACAAAAGCATTCAAGAATTTGAGCAATTCGTATAGAGGAAGCAGATGAGACATTCTGTTTTAGGACCAAATTCTCTAGAAAAACCAGAGCTAATCCTTTTTATTATGTTTCCAGTGGCAGATTCCAGCGAGTGCTCATGAAACAGGGCTCTCCTCACATCCAAACACAACACATCTCTTCTCGCTTTCTCTCTCTCTCTCTCTCTCTCTCTCTCTCTCTCGCTCTCTATCTATATCTATATATCTATCTATCCATATATATATATATCTTTTTACAGCTGCACAACATTTGCTCCATGCTGCATCTTGGCAGGAAAAAGTCATTATCACAACACACAAGTTGTAGCCCGACCCCTGCATGGGCCTGTCACAGTCTGTACCTGGCTAATATTTTACAAAAAATAAAAGTCACTTTCTTCCATATGTAGATGGCTGAGTTCGTGGCTGTTAAAAAGTTCTGCTACCTTTTTAGAAAATATGTTTGGTTTCCTCTCCCCACCAATTAAAGCCGGCCCTGGGCTGTTGTGTAGGGCAGGCAAGCACTGAAGGATACACGGGCGAAAAGGAAACAACATAATCTCTCTGCAATATCCTGTTGTGTTTCATGCCTAATTCACTTGTTGTTTTAGTTTATTACATTTTTTTCCCTGTGTCTGCATAAATATTAAAAATATATCCACCAAGAGTAGCCCTGACATGGACCCAGACTTTGATATTGTTCTGTTTTGTCAGAGGCCGGGCCAGCGGATTTGAAGTGTCTGAAGACAGGACTGTGAGCTATGAAAGTCAGAAAATATCCTCCTAAACCGTGGAAGCTCTAAAGGACAGAGCGTTTACATAGAAGAGGGACTTCAGGCAGGAGAACAGCCCTGTGCACTTTATTTGGTTTCTTTGACATATCATTTTGGATACTATTCAAAACAACAGTATGCTTTAAATGTCATTAGAGGAGGTTATGTTGCCGTGGGATGAAGGATTCAGTCAGTGGTTCAAGGCATGAAACATGATTCAGTGGTTTTGCTACGCTACTGTCTTTACATGCGGGATTTTGTAGCAAGTAGGAATCTTTTGGAAAGATGCAGCACTTTTAACAACAGAAATTCTAACAAAATCACAGGTATTATTGTTATTAAGGCTGCATGGAGACATTATTAAGGCTTCATTTAAAATGAAATTTTTGCTCATGACTGAAAAGGCATGCTTGTTAAGTCTCATGTAAGTAAAGTAAGATGATCCTTATTGTGATTTTTATCTCGTTAAGTAAGTAGATGAACATGTTTTCATTGCAGCATTGCTATGGTAATGTACAGTATCATTTTGTTTGTTAATATTTGAGTGAAGTTCCTATGTTTCCCCCCCTGCGTTCATACCATTAAGGTGACGTAACTGACAAATAATTTAAAAACAAAAGAAAATTCCTCCATAAAAGGGTACATTCACATACTTTAGTGTTACTCAAAGGCGAGACAGTGAGCCACCCACCCATTTCACTGTGATAAAACACAGCCAGCATTAGCTGCTTAATGGGATCCTGTCCAAACACACACACATGTGCACGCAAACAGACAAACACCAAAACACACACACTCACTGATGCACTCAGTCAAACCACTTGTTGAAGGAAAGTTAGATGTTGAAACCTGCTGGAAAAAGTATAGATCATGGAATTTCCTCTTTTTTCACTGGTGTGAATTAGCAAACATATATATTTAGATTTAATAGACTGATTTTTGGAGGAGAGTGGCAAAATCCCTCAGCAGCAGATGTTGAGACATAGAGCGCAGGATGGCATGCGTTTTCAGGGGTAAATGGAGTCTTTTGTGAGCAATCAGCTCAGACGCAGGAGATGAAACAAGGAGTGCCATTAGCTAATTAAAACTGAGGTTCAGCACATGACCCGACTTTTCCTCTGAATGCCACCTGAAACCAGAGCTGTCTGGGCACTGGGTGCGGGCAACGAGTGATGTTGATATTAATGTGTTTGTACCCATATGAGCCTCTGACACTCTGGCCTGTCTGGACAGTTTAAAGGCCACAATCTCTTTGAGTCCATTTTCTGAACTTATCTTAGGATGTATGGACCTTGGTTTGCTTTCAGAAGATCCTAAAGATCACTTAGAGAGGCTCAGACAGATATATATAACTGGAGCTACGAAAACCTTTCTCAGCCTTTAAAGTAGCATGTCATTCCTTAACTGATAAAAACAGTAAAAATCTCCACAATTGCAGTCACAGTGTTTTGCACCCAACAGCAACAACATGCAGACATTCAAAATGACCCGAGGAACTCAAGCATGCGTGGAAACCAAATTACCAACACAAAATACCATGGATCAGCAAGGCCAACTGGTTCCTCAGGCTGTACACACACACACACACACACACACACACACACACACACACACACACACTGGAAGAATCCTGTATATGGCTCATTTAAAGTAATCAGGGTCAATAGGCGAGAAAAGGCATTGATTCAGCATGTCAGAAGTCACGGTATGCTTCGGAAACAGAGCTCCTAAAGTCAATTAATTTGGCACAAATGCAAAGACCTAATCAGGCTCAAATAAAGGACCTGGAGATCAACTTATAGCACTTTATCTGAAGGTCCTGTGCGTCTGTTAGCCATTAAAGACATTTCAGAATTAATGGTGTCAGTCATTCCCCAGGCAAATGAGTTCATCAGGTAGCTAGATAGTCTAATTTCTTTCTGCAAACCTATAATCCCATGCAGTGGTTATCCTCCTGTCTTCCTGTCAGGTCTAATGTGCCGCTTGGCAGTCCCGTCGTCATGCTAATAGTAACACAACACTGTCCACATGTGATATTCGTATGATGAAACTGCTGGCAGAGGTGCTCTGCGAC